CTGTCTAATTCTGCCAGCATACTTTTTTCCGGTCAATTGTCATGGCAGATCAGCAGTTTGATGGGTCTCTCACAGAACTGGTTTAATCATGCAAATATATATTTGATTCACCATAGCCTCTTCTTTCCAATACAACCAGTAAAGCAACACATTACTCTACTGTCCACATGTTTTGTTGTTTAGACTGTTAGAATAACAGCAGGTCCTGTTTACAGACACCCTGATTTGTCTCTTTTTCTTTTGGAATAACAGTGGATCTCATTATCAGATGTTACAATATGTCCTCTGTCTGTTGGAATAATAGTAGATTTCTCCATTAGCCTTAACTTAAGCCTAAACTCAAGCCTGTCCAACAGAAGGAGAAATGCAGTTTAAAATTAGCATGGTGGCTAACTTTAATACAGTTTACATTTGGGCTACTTTTAAATAAATAAATGAATGAATAAATAAATAAATAAATAAAATAAATAAAGATGCTATGTGCTGTAATAATGAAAGGAATCTATGTACACTGAAATAAACACTCTTCCCTGTCACTGTTCCACTTCTTGTGCACTCTCCGCCCCTACTTCAGTTTTTTCTACTTCACTCACACACACCCACACACCCCAACCTGGATCTTAGAGCTTGTGGGTTACATGGTTACCGTGGCTACGTTGTCTGAGGACGATCCTCCAGTATCTCACAGTGATGAGGAGACGGTTACTTAGCAACAGTGGCACCAGTGACACTGATATGAGCCACATATGGCGGTGAGGGGGTCATCCCAGTACAGATTCCCTCTGAGCTTGTGAGTGACCCCTACCTGAACATTAATCTAAAACATCAGAACTGCATTACAGCTCTGAACCCAGCGCATCTTTTAAAGCAACAGTTGAGCTAAAATTCTCTTTGTCCCCCATTTCTTCCCCTTTAGCCAAGGTGTAGTTGATCAGCCAAGAAATGTTTGGTGTCTGAAGTTTGCTTCTTTAGCTTTAAAGCTACAAGGCTAATGTAGTTCACAAGTAAAGGAAGCTTTTACCCCACCATTTAACATGGTGCTAACTGCATGCCTAAATCGTCACACACTTGCCTCAAGTTGTTAAATAATTTCTAATAGATTTGCTTATGTGTTTTTTTGACACTATATGACATACTGTATGAAACATGGACTAAAGTACATTATCATAGCTAAAAATAGTAGCAGCCACCTTGAAGCCTGAACCTTCTGGGTTTTTTGTCAGTGTGATTTAAAGCACAGTTTCCAGTGTATATTTACCCAAAATAACAATGAACAGCTAGTAAAAAAACACACACACACACACACACCTTTATTCTCCAGATAAAAAACATACTCAGCTACTTTCTTCTATTATATCAGAGCACATAAGTGTGTGTGTATGTGTGTGTGTTTCACATTGAGAGCCACCTCAGATCAAAGTCAATCAGTTGCTCATCAATGTTCTAAACCAGAACCAGAAAGACATTTAGGTCTGACAGTCTACCATTACAGCTACACATCTACTATTCATGGGTCCAAAAATACAGTTTGTTACGTAAGCTGGAGTGTAAAAATACAACAGAAAAAAAAGTTCTGTCATTAAAGCTATAACAGGCCCACACAAGAGTGGACACACATTACAGATGGAAGTGATCAATATACGCATGACTAGGGTACATCTTTATAAATAAGTTTGGCAAAAACATTGAATGTACCCAGTCCCCCCTTCCTCTTACCTAAAACGTCAATCAGCCAAGACATGCTTGGTGTCTGAAGTTCGCTTCTTTAGTTTTTCACTGGAGCTATGAGGCTAATGTAGCTAACAATTTACAAAACTAAATCCCATAAACTAAACTAGACCAAACTCCATGAACTAAACTTTAGTAAATCTCACAAACTAAACTCTACCAAACTAAAGCCTAAAACTAGAACCCAAGAACCCCCTGGTGAACATGGGTAGTGAGAGAGCCCGTCACATTTAAGAAGGAGGCCTTAAGGGACTTAGGGACTTGTTTGCTCAGACGAGTCTCGACTCAGCAGATCTTGCCAAAGATGGCAGCAGTAACAGCAGTAGCAGAAGCAAAATTTGGAGTTTGGAGAAGCCATGGAAAAAGACTTTTGGTTGGCTTCAAGGATGTTCTGGACAACTGTCCTGTGACTCAGGAGCAGCTGGAGTGGCTTTGCTCAAGCTGTACTCAGCAAAGGCGGAGAAACTCTGACTTTGAATAAAGATATTGTCAGTGGCCGACACCCCTCTGCCATATCGCATGGACCTCGGGAACAGTACCCTCGGACTGGCAGACCGAGGTGGTATCACCCTGCTTAGCCTTCCTGAAAAAGGTTCAGGCCAAGGAGCTGGAAAGGTGACTCTGACCTATAGTCGAACTTCGGATTGACAAGGAACAATGCAGATTCTGTCCAGCTTTTAGCCCTTGCGCGAATTGTTGAGTGGGCATGGGAGTCTGCTCACTCAGTCTACATGTGTTTTCTGGACTTGGAGAAGGCTTACGACCATGCTCCCTAAGATATTCTGTGGGAGTTCCTCTGGGAGTATGGGGTGCCGGGGCCACTACTGCAGGTAACTCGGTCTCTGTACACCTGGATTGAGAGCCATGTCCATATACTTTCCATTAAGTCAAGCTTGTTCAATCTGGGTGTTGGACAAGGTTGTGCCTTGTCTCCACTCCTGTTTGTGATTATGGATAGAGTCTTAAGGCATAGCCAATGTCAGGGGGTCATCATGTGTGGAGGCCAGCAGTTGGCATGTCCACTTTTTGCAGATGATGTTATAAACTTTGCCAAACAACTAAACATAAGCTAAATCTTATCAAAAATAAATCCCATACACTAAAGCCAATGAGCTAAACTTTATTAAATGAAACTGCACAAAATAAAAAACACCACAAACTAACCTGTACAAATGAAATGTAATCAAGGCCTAAGGAAGAAACCTACCAGCAGTACAAATCTCAGGAATCTAAACTGCCTTCCTAATGACCACACTGCTGACTGAATGTAGTGTATCAGTGCAGGCTTTACAGTAGATTCCTCACAGCAGTGCGCAGAGCTGCATCCCACCCTGCTGGCCAAAACACAGAAATACAGTAAAATCAGTTTTAACACACCTGTCACACATTAGCTGGCAACCACCCTCACCCCCAGAACACACACACAGAAGAAGATCTGAATGGTTTTCACCTTTTATTGATTTGGTGACGTTACATGTGATAAACTTACAAGAAGTTGCTTCAGTAATACAAATAAAGATCAGTGGTAACCACGGAGACGGAGATGAAGAAAAACTGATTATGAAGATCAGAAAGCGAAATGAAAAACATCAGAAACACAACAGAGGGGAAAAATAAACTGTAAAAGTACTGAGGGACAACAGAGAGAGAAACACGCCCGTACACATGCACGCACACACAAACACGCATACTGGATAATCCCTCTTTTGGTGCCTTGGTGAAAATAGAGGATGGAGGGAGGGAGAGAAAAGGAAAGAAAGAAAGATGTGTATGTATGTGTGTGTGTGTATATATATATATATATATATATATATATATATATATATATATATATATATATATATAGTTTATTTATATATATTTTTACTGGCAAACATATACCTGCAGCCCAGGTAAACAGTCTGAACCCTTTTTCACATTAACCATAAAATGCTACTTTCCACCTGTTCGGGGAGTCCCTCCATTTTTTTTTCCTCACTGCCGATGGAGTACATTGCCAATGAAAATGTGTATGATTTACAAAATTGGAGACTGGATTTTCCCCTTTTGTAGGTGAGCAATCATGTGAACATTTAAAAAAACTGTTGGTATTTACTGATTTAATGATTATTTGATACGAAGAAAGCTGCAGTTGTGCTGTCATGTTAAATAAAGTGTCTGGCCGGCCACTTCATGAAGTACACTATCTTCTTGTATGTACGATTTCCAACCATTTTATCAGCTCCACTTACCATACAGGTGCACTTTGTAGCTCTACAATTACAGACTGGAGTCCAGTTGTTTCTATGCATACTTCGTCAGCCCACTTTTACCCCGTTCTTCAATGGTCGGGACCCCAGAGTACCACCACAGAACAGGGTGGCAAAAGCTCCAGCAGCACTGCTGTGTCTGATCCACTCACACCAGTGCAACACACACTAACACACCACCACCACATCAGTGTCATTGCAGGGCTGGGAATGAGCCACCATACGGATACCTGCTCTGTGGTGGTCCTCTAGGGGTCCAGAACAGGGCAAAAGGGGGCAAACAGTTCTTCAGTTTCAACTCTTCAAACACACACACACACACACACACACACATACATATATATATATATATATGTATGTACACACAGAGAGAGAGAGAGAGGAAGAGAGAACTGGCAGGACTGAGCTTCAGTTCATTTTAATACACACACACATACATATATATATATATATATATATATATATATATATATATATATATATATATATATATATATATGTGTGTACAAACACAAAGAGAGAGAGAGAAAGAGAGAAAGAGAGAAAGAGAGAGAGAGAGAGAGAGAGAGAGAGAGAGAGAGGGAGAGGGAGAGAGAACTGGCAGGACTGAGCTTCAGTTCATTTTAATACACACACACACACACACACTCACTCTTTGCTGTGCTGTGGTGGGTGGATAGGTGATTAAAGCGTGTCTCTAAGGCTGAATATGGCACTATCCACGCAGAGAACAAACAGAACGAAAACAACCAAAATTGAAAGAACAGAAATAAAAACATGAAAACAAGCTCCACCCACCACACACCCACTCAGAACCCGGTCCCCACTGTAGCTGCTCTGAAAGGCACATTAATGATTAATCTGGAGTTATTACTGGTATGACCACATTCAACCGTCTGATATACACACACACATACCCAACACACACACACACACACACACACACACCAATCAAAGACACGCGTGTTATGACAACAGTAACACGTTTCTTTAACAAAAACAAGTAGAATCACTGTAACTAAGTCGTTCCTACAGAGCCTGACGGCCTATTTGGCTTTAATTATATTTACATAAAACAGAATGGGTGAAGCTACAGGAAGTTCTGCTACAGCCTTTACTAAACTCTAACAGCAGGATCAATCCTAATCCTAAACCTAATCCCTAAATCTAAACCATAATCGTAATCCTAAACCAAAAACTGCTGTTCCTCATGCTAACACTAAATTAGTGCCAGATTAGCATGGAGGTTGATGCTGTTTATAGAGTAATATTTCACTTCTATATCTACATATCTATATCAGCTACTGTAAACTACAGATATGAAATGTAGATTGACTTGATACTGTTTCACTTCTATTAACATTAAGACTGATGAAATTGTTCCCATACATTTGTGTTAATTATTAAAAAAACACATCTGCAATTAAAATTTTCCTCAAACATGTCAGTCCCGTTTCATTTTCTTTTTTTCTTATGCTTTTTTTGGAGAAGACAGTTTAAGCTCTTACATATGCACGCACACACACGCGCACACATGCATGCACACACGCACGCACACTCACAGCAGTAGGAACAAGCACTCTTTAAAATAATAATAAAAAGAATAAAGTAAAACTTGGTGCTTTTCATTCCAACGGCTTTCACCTTTCCTGTGCAGTCCATAAAATGCACTTCACCTGCTGGCCGTCCTCGAGCACCTCTTTCTAAAATTCAGGATCCTTCAGAGTGTAAAAAAAAAAAATAAATCAGTTAAAGTGGAGGCGTTTAGAGGTCAACAGTGAGAGAGCGATGGACGGAGTGATGTCCAGTTCCGATTCAGTCCTTAATCCTGAGTTTGTGCTCAGGATTAATCTGCAGACTCGATCTGAAGATGAGTTTTAGTCTTTAATCCTGAATTTAAGTTTATTTGAAGATGATGGTGAGGATGATCTGTGCGCTGATGAGGAAGAGGATGATGGCATAATCTCTCTGAGTGAGGAAGGAGCTGGGCTCAGACTGAACCGACACTCGACTCCTCAGAGCACTGATACTCCTGCACAGAAAAGATCAGGAACTAATAAAAAATCAACAAATAATACATCAAATTTTATATATATATAAAATTTCTGCGACAGTATTCCAGGATCATAACAGTAGGAGTTTATAATACTGGTTTCTTTTTCTGCCCACAAATGCCTTCACTTTACAATATCTTCAGCCATGCTACAGCAGCTATGATGCTAACTTAGCTAGCTACCAACACTAAGACAGCTGAAGCCAGTGAACTTACTTACACTATCAATCGGATGTTTAGCTCTAAAAACCTTTATTACACAACAAAGAAACACTCTTCCTACCAAACTTTGGAGCCAGCTGGAAGGGCTGTGAACTGGCCTCAGAAATTAAAGTCAAACTTCCCCTAGTTTGTCAAATGTTAAAATCTATTCTAATTTTCAGTTGATTAATTTTCAAGACAATTACATATTTGCAGTAAACATCATTTTTCTAAGACAATGTTATGTATCCTAAATCCAAGTGGTCACTCGAATATCAAGCATCCCCAAAAGCTGGTGGTGTTGTAAACCAATGGTTCTCAGTCTGCAGCTGTGAGAGTGTGCATAGGCTTACTGTAACATATTTCTGAGAATGACATTTCAAATCACCCAGGCCAGTGATATTGCACTCCAGGCCAGTGAAACAGCAAGTGGCTGCATGCACACTGTGATAAGGCAAAGTCTCCAACTTCCATAGGTGGCTGCAGTGTGTAGCACCGCTTAGCCAAACAGTTAAAATAGCAGTTTACTTCACTTCCTTATAAGCTTACTGCTTTACAGAGCGCCTGCATTTGGACAGCTGGCAACATATTTCTGCCTGTTACTGTTACACAGATACACTGCTTTGTTTGCTGAAAATATTCCAAAATAGATTACTGTTTTTGTTTTCCTTTCAATGGTCATCAGTGGCATGTTCCTCCATGCGTTTAGCAGCCGATTAACTGGCCTGAAACATGCTAAGAGTCGCTGGCATGTGTGTGTGAGATAGTGACCTGTTGATCTCCTCCTGTGTGTGTCTGATGGACTCCACTGCGCTCTGAAGTTCAGAAAGTTCTGGAGCTTTTTTCCTCAGGCGATTGCTGGGTTTACTCTTGTGCCCTGAAATGAACCCACACACATACATTACAGTTACTATGCTTGTGTCAGGTCTGTACGTGTGTGTGTGTGTTCTGTATATGTATGAATACACCAATGAGCCAAAACATCGTAACAAATCAGCTGAATGATAATCTCATAGCCACAGCACATATCAAGATCCTCATAGCCGCTTGATGTGGTAGAAACGGACAGACATGAAGACCTGAACACGTTTGACAAAGGCCAAATTGTTCTGGCCAGACGACTGGGTCGGAACATTTCCAAAACAGTAAGGCTTGTAGGGTGCTCCTGGTCAACAGTGGTAAGTAGCTACCGATGGTGGTCAGAGAAGGGACAAACCACAAACCAGCGACAACATGTTATGCATCCATGACTCACTGATGTGTGAGGGCAATGAAGGCTATCTGGTCTGAACCAAGAGACGCAATGGAAGCAATGAAAGAAGGTCAGCTGGTCTGATGGGTCCTGTTTTCTTCTACATCACATGGACGGCCAGGCATATGTACGCTGTTTACTGTGGGGAGTGATGGCCCCAGGATGCGCTGTGGAAAGAAGACAAGCTGGTGGAGGGAGTGTGATGCTTCGGACAATGTTCTGCTGGGAAACCCTGGATCCAGGCATTCATGTAAACATCAATTTGACTTGGGTCACGTACCCACACACTGTTGTGGATCAGGTACACTCCTTCACGGCATTGGTATTCCCTGATGGGACTGGCCTCTTTCAGTATGATAATGCGCCCTGCCACACTACACATATTGTTAACACAAGAAGAATTCAAGGTGTTGCTCTGGCCTTCAAATTCCACAGATCTCATTCTGATCGAGCATCTGCGGGATATGCTGAAACAATATGTCCAATCCAACGTGGTTCCTCCTCACAACTTACAGGACTTAGTGCCAGATTCCACAGGGCACATTCAGAGTCCATGCAGGTGGGTCACAGCTGGTCAGAGCACACAGTGGACCAATAACATATTAGGCACCATGTGCTTATATACCCATAAATATATATAGGTTATAATGTTTTGGCTTATTGGTGTATGTGTTTGTTTTCATGGTTGAGTGTTTGTTTTGTGCGTGTGTATGTATCGTACTCTCACTGCCAGACGAGTCCTGTCGATCCGGTTCCGGAGAGGAGCAGCCACTTTCTGGGTTTTTGGGCTTATCATTCTGTTTGTGCTTCCGTTTTGGTCCCGTTACCTAGACACACACAAACACACACCATTCCATGTGTTCCATTCTCACCCTCTCAACTACAGTCAGTAATGATCAACTTCTATAGTTCTGTAATTCCATCTGAGACACAGCATCAGAGTCAGTGCAAGCGAGACGCACACACACATGCAAGATGTCCACTGGAATCGACTCCTTATCATTAATGACCACACAAGAGCGGGGCAGTTAGCAGAGTTAGCTATCATTAGCTATATACACTGAGCCCACCCACGATTCACGATTCTGGGGTCATAATTTTGTATTCTTATCATGTCTTCAACAAAATTGAAATTAAGAACAATTCTGATGATAATCTTGTTGTTGCAGGATTGTGCTAATTGTTTGCCACTACATTAGACTGCATAACAGAATGCCCATTCTCCATGACGCACATCATACTTTAGCACAGAAATGATGCATTACATCACCCCAAATAATATATGTTTGCTATTATATATTTAATAAGTGTTCAGGTATTTTTGTATACCACAATAAGCCTTTTGTTCTCTTCTGGGTTAAAAATAATAATTCAGCCTTAAATTAGCATAAGGAAATGAATTGAATATCTAACAATGAATGTCCAAAAAACGTGGAAAAATATCACCCAGCCCTGTGTGGATCATCGCAAAACATACACATTCTCTCTTAATGACACAGACATACACACATGCACATGTGCTCAAAATAAACAGCATTTACATGCCACAATAAAACAAAATGAAGCCTTAAGCACAGAGCAGCAAAACAAACAAACAAGCAAAAAAACAAACAAAAAAAAAAACAAGAAAAAAAACAAAAACAAGAACAAGCCACGGTGAGGCAGTATGGCCGGTGTGGCCAAGCAGCCAGGTGATTGGTCAGTTTGGAGAATGGTGATTGGTCGATTTGGTGAATGGGCGGAGCACAGGCGACAGCAATGGAGAGACGGAAGCAGAGAGAGGAATTGTGGGTAGGTGGGCGGGGCTGAACGTACCTGGCTCAGGTAATTGTCCCTCCGGGCGCCCTGCTGGGCACTGAGACTAACTACACTGGCTGAACGTACCATAGGAGTCCTGTGACGAACTTTAGTCTGAATACAGCCATCTTTCTCAAACTGGATCAGATCATTCAGCGGATCCCATGGACGAGTACTGAGTGAGAGAGGAAGAGGAAGAGAGTAGAAGAGAAAAAAAAAACAGGGGGGAAGAGTGTCTTGCTTGGTTATTCCAGCAGAGGTCAGTATAGCTTAGATTTTCTTAAGCGTATTAGACTGAAACTACATGAAAGAAGAGCAAACTGCTGTCTCATGACACACAGCTTATTACCTTAATTTAATAATCTTCACTTATAAAGCAATAATCTGAAAAAATATCTAATTTCATCACTCTCCTGTATCTGTAATGCCACTCATTCTGCATAAGGGGCAGCTGTGGGCTGGAGGTTAGGGAACCAGCCTTGTGATTGGAAGGTCGCCGGTTTGGTTCCCTGAGCTGACTGAAGTGCCCTTGAGCAAGGCACCTAACCCCCAACTGCTCCTCGGGCGCTGTGGATATGGTTGCCCTCCGCTCCAGGCAAGTGTGCTCACCGCCCCCTAGTGTGTGTGTGTGCTCACTAGTGTGTATGTGTTGTTTCACTGCATGGATGGGTTAAATGCGAAGGTGAAATTTCCCCGTTGTGGGACTAATAAGGGTCACTTTAATTTCATTTAATGTTTCTCACTCTCCTGTATATGTAACGACACACACCTTTGTATGTGTGACGTCACTCACTCTCCTGTATCTGGAATGTCACTTACTCTTATGTAATGCAGACCTGCCAACTTTGGGAAAATATTTTGAGTAGTACAATAGTGTAACGCTTAAAAAAACCACTTTGCTTAGCACACGGTCATTTCTCCAGTCGCCACCATGTTATGCCGTTTGGTTACTTAACAGGGTCTGCTGCTCTCTTTCTCTTCCTGTCAGTGTACTCCTCATCTGACAGCATGTTTATTTAAACCATAAGGCATGCGTGCGCACGCACACACACCTCCCAGTACCTTCTAGGCAACGTTCTTTCTGCAGCACTCGCTTTTTTTCATCCTGCCATGATCTGCTCCTCTCATTATGGTTACAGGTTTGGCTGCAATAATAAATGTGATTCACAATTTTAACTTTTCACATCCACTCCACCCTGTTTACCTTTGCAAAAGAGTTAAAAGCACCTGTGGAACCAGCCAGATGGAGTGAGGAGGGTGAACGAGAGGGATAAAAAGCATTTCATGTTGCTATTGGTTTGCAGTCTCTTGAAATGATAGACATTACACATTCGTCATGATTGGGTGAACATTTATTCTTTCGTTTTTCGGAAGGCTAGACACTGCTGCCTCTCGCTGTTATATCTGAGCGCTGCACATGCACAACTGAACACCAGCTTTTTGCATAGAGTAACAAATCGTATCAGCGTACTTTGATGTCAAAGTGTGTACCTGCTACGCAAAATGCGTAAAGGTTGGCAGGTCTGGTAATGCTACTCTCTGTATATGTAATGTCACTCACTCTCCTGTGTCTGTAATGTCACTCTTTCTTCTGTATATGTAACACCACTCACCCTGCATTTCCATAATACCACTCACTCTTCTGTATCTGTAATACCACTCACTCTGCATATCTGTAATGCCACTCTCCTGTGCCTGGGTCTTGCTCAAACAGTGCTGGAGCCCACTCTTCACACTTTGCCTTCCTTTCACGGGCCGATTTCCTCTGAGCCTCCTCCAGAATGAACTTCTCATTGGTGGCCTCTGTCTGGTCCTTATTGTTTATGGCCCTTGTCACATGCTGCCACAATCTTAAGAGAGGGGGTAGAAAAAGAAAGTGAAAGTGTGACAGGACCCAACTATTCATGCTGGTTTGGTCAGTACAGTGATAAGTTTTCATAGCTGTTATTTCTGTGTTCTGCGGTCGCTGTGTCCTTTGCAATTATTGCAACCACAGTAAATTTAAGCTCAGTGATCTTAATTCACCAAAGGAGAGTTTTGACCGGAGTGGACTGTCTCTGTGTTCTTTAATGTCACTTCATCACACTGACGTGTGTGTGTACCTCTCAGACTCAAATTCGCCCTGTTCCTCATGTGGGACGGTACAACGGGTGAGACGACTCTGCCGTAGTTCTGGCGTCGGGTTCCAAAATGTCTCCACCACACCCGTCTTCTTATCGTTTATAAAGATCTCACAATCCTGCAGAGGGAACACACAGTTTGTTCAGAATGTGGGGTCATTTATATGCTCCTTAAGTATTGCATATATCCATATGTATATACGTATATGTATTACATATGTATGTAAATAACTGTATGTGATAATAATACAACCCATGTGCAAAAGTTTGGACACTCAGTATTTATTAACACCCCCAGTCGGCAGATATGATAGTTCCAAAACACTTTTTTTTGCAGCCAGCTAGGAGTCTTTCTATTTTTGTTTTAGGAACTTCTACCCACTCATCCTTGAAGAATGCTTCTAGTTCTGAGATATTCCATCGTGCATGCAGAGCATGTTGGAGATCAACCCACAGATTTTCAATGATGTTCAAGTCAGGGGTCTGTGAAGGACATTCCAAAAGCTTCATGGATTTTGGGGTATGTTTTGTATTACTGTCATGTTGTAGAAGCCAGCCTCTTTTCAGCTTACGTTTCTTGGCTGAGCCACATTTGCTTTCAGGATTTAATGAAATCCATTTTCTATCTACCCATGCGATGTTTCCTGTGCCACTGGCTGCCACATCCATAGTGTTCTGTTTATAAGCATGGGGGTGTGTTGTTCTTCTGGCAAAGTGTTCTTTTCATCATATGCTGCGTTGTTTTTTTCTCCAAACATATCTTTGGTGACTGTGGCTAAAGAGTCCCACAGCAGTCCACAGCACTTGTTTCTATAACGCCTTTGGCTTATCTAGAGGCCCGGAAGTAAATGAGAAGCTCAGTACTGAACACTGTACTGGTATCTGAGAACTGTCTCTAGCAGAACTTCACTCTATGTTTGGATTCAGTCTGACATCAGACAGTGACAGATTTTACTCAAACACACACACACACACACACACACACACACACACACACACACACACACACACTCTTACCCAGTGTCCCTCCATTGTAGCCAGCACTTCCTTCCCCAGTTTAATCTTCCCACTGATCTGATTAACACTGTCACTACTACCCAGGAATGGCTGAGAGACAGGGAGAGAGAGAGAACAAGTTATACAGAAGCTTGCAAAGATACAACAGTTCCAACAGTGGGCATTTTGCAGAATGTTTGGCCAGTCACGGGGTCAATCCATGTAAAAATTACCTAAGGCCACCTAACTGACCTTCTCAGATTAGTTTAATATTTTCAGGAAATAATGTCATTGTGTTCAACAGAGAGTGTGTAAAACATTAGATTATGAAAAGGTACAACTACATACTTTTCACCAGGAAAAACTTATTTAAGGAGCACAATTAGACCTTAAAACCACTGTTGTACATTTGAGGGAACATTTACATTGTTTGCACCTTGATGAACAAAAAAATGTACATGCACAGAACCTTTATTTCTAACAGTGTAGGTATTCATCTTGCAGTAATAAAAGTTTGCACACCTACAACTCAAAAACTTATCACTCGTCTGACAAAGGATAAAATGAAATATCACTTATATCATTGGAACAGGCACTCGATCCCATTAACAAATGCACCAAAATGATAAACTATTTTTATTACAGTATCAAATTCACTTATTTATCTATTACAGTTGTGTAATTGGATATAATGCTGTGTGCTTTCACAGATGTCTTGTGTAAAATTGTCTTTAGACCCATTATTGGTTTAAGACACCAACTTCATATTTGGTTCCTTAATTAACAGAAATGTGCTGTTTTCAGTGATCTAAATTATTGTGTAAATATAGTTCAATGTGGACATGTAACGAATGTAATATACAACATATATATTACACTATACTAAAAAACAAGAAAAATGTAAAATCAATAGTTTGAAGGTAATGACCTTACACTTTTTTCTCCTTAGGCCACATTTAAAGGTAAAAATTAAGGCCACGCTCACTTTTAAATCATCTATATCTCAAAAACTATTGAAGATACTACTAAAAATGTACACACTATCTATTATATACAATAACATTATTTCCAGAAAGTGGGATTAAACATATTTGAGAGGGTCAGTCAGAAACATTGTCTGAAATCTTGAGATCTGAATCCGATTTTCTGCACAGACATACACACATACACACCTTCAGTTTGAACTCCAGCTGGGCACTGTATCCTGTTTTCTCACAGGTGATGGACACCTGGCCTGCCAGCTCCAGAGTCATTGTACCGTACAGAATACCTACGGAAATGCACACACACATACACACACACACACACAGCAGAACAGAAAAACCATCAACGACTTGCATTTACTGCTTCTCAAACATTTATAAACATTAAAATAAGACAAGTGTTTGATAGATTTTTCCCTAAAAGTGATTAAAGTTTGGGTTTCTGTGACATGGACAATGCAGCATCTGCAGCAGCTGTTTTAGGCCAGTTAGTTACATGACAGCTACCAAACACACGGAAGAACATACTATTGCTAACCATAAATGATGAAACAATAGAAGTCTTGTTTGGCTGTAATTTAGTGTTTAATTAAGTACATGGGAATATTTGCAAACATCTGACAGCTCAGTCACTCTTACAGAAGTGGTGCATCTTCCTTTTATGCTACCAAGCATAAATAGCTAACTCTCCAAATGTGGGCTTGTAATGTAGTAGCAAATAATTTAATGCTGAGATGTTGATGTAATGTTGTAATGCTGAGGCAGATAGTAATGAAGTGAGCTGCTAGTTTAGCTCTTTGGGTAAGTGCTGCTGTTTTTTTTTAAACTTAACACAATGTGAAGGTTTTCACTAATGTAGCCACTCCCCTTTTAGCTTATAATGACAACACAATATCACTGGCTGGAAAATTTGATGGAAAAATAATTCTCATAAATATGTAAAAATAAGCATCTCCACATGAATAAGTGTAGAGAACCACTGGTTTATAACACTGTGAGCTTTTGAGGATGCCTAATATTTATGAGTGCCCACTTATGGATTTAGAACACATAACACTGTCTCAGAAAAATGGAGTTTACTGCAGTTATGTTCTCTTACTTATCCTAACTGCATCTTGAAAATATTCTATTTCAAATTCCAATATTTGATAAATAAGTGGACATTTTGTTTACTTTCTGAGCTCAGTTTACAGCCTGAGTGTGTGCGTGTGTGTGTACTGACCCTTGCAGTGGGCGTATGGCATGTTCATGATGTAATCTTCTCCTCTGTTCAGGAAGGTCAGTCTGGCTTCACCGTCCAAAATGGCTGACAGAGAGTTTCCTGAAGAAGAAACAGAGAAATTCAATCAATCAGTCAATCAGTCAACTTTTATTTATTCGGCAGGGAAGAGGAGTGTGCGTGTGTTTTTTTCTTACCGTAGAACTTGGATTTGGCCAGAATGCTGCCGCTCAGACAGAACCCGTCCTTCCTGTTACTAACATAGAAGGCAGAGACTGGTGGATGATGGGAAACCTGCAGGACAGAAAACATTAATGATGTGTGATTTGTGAACAAATCGTTCTTTTGAATTTGTTTTTTTCAATCAAGCAGTTATCAAAATAATTCACAAGTCCATCTGAACTGAATTTTGTTGTACCTGTTCTGCTATGTAAAAGGTTTTGCTGTTGGTTTTAGGGTGAATCCACATGCAGCGAAACATTTCTCCGATGATGGGGTTGTATGGCTTCTTCAGACCCTGTCTCACGCACGCACGCATGCGCACACACACACACACACACATTTGTCAGTCATGTTTATGTGTTCTGTGCTGCAAGGCTGGAGCTGAAGTGTAAGGAGGTTTTGTACCTTTGGCTTTTTGTAGAATCCAGAGATGTACCACTTCACCACCTTCTTCATGCGGTTATATGCATTCTCCTCCACGGCAGCTCTAAACACAAACAACAAAACCCTCCATCACTACACAACAAACACACTCACTGCCACAAGGTCAAAAGGCATGCTTGACAAAGGAGGATATGAGTTTAATTTATTTTTACTTAGACTCTGTTAGTCTCAAGGCTGTTTTGGTGAACCTAGTGCTTAAATGGTTAGGGTTACTCCAAGGTGTGAATTGTAGGGGCATTTTGCAGTTACAGGGCTGATAAATTAAGCATTTTTATTTGTAGATAGATATTTTTGACTCTTACTTTGTAAAGTTACATTTAGTTGTCAGTGTAATGTTTGCTGCCTCAGTAGTTATACAGAGCTATTACCCTTTATATTAGCAGATAGAGAATGAGTGATTATTTTGCATGCTTGACTCTAAACTTGATTCTAAGCAACTGTAGATGTAAGTGTGTGCACACAGAAATCATCTTAGTCTGACAGATATGTTACTATGCAAATAAGAGTCTTTAGCTGGCTAATAACATAGCTATATTATTTTAGATTACTTCCGAATCAATTATTGAATAAGTTTTATATTGATGTCTATAATAAATGGCCTCCTGGGTGATTTGAAATTCTACAGCATCTTCAGTGAATTTACACTAAAATTAAAATTTTAAATGCTTCATATTTGCAAAGCAGTGAAAAAAAGGAAATAATAAAAAACAACTGCAGATAATTAAAGTTTATTACCATTTACTATCTACACATCTAAAATACCTATTGGCATCTGGCTTATATTCTTTATGTTTATATTGTATTACAGGTTCTTTTTGAAGAAAATACAAACAATCTCAGAAGTGATTCTGATCTTCAGTGCGTATGTTTCTGTGTGTTTTTGTTTCTGTGGTAGTTTTTGTATCTGTGTACGTTTACTCACTCGGACAGGAAGTCAGCATGGAAGTAGTAATCAGACAGTTTATCCAGGAACGACCGCGGCTCTAGGATGAAGGTGGGCAGAACGACTTTAGATAGGTCCATCCCCGGCCGTACCTGTTTCAGCAGTGTCCAGATCAGAGATTTATTCTCCTCTGAGACGGTCTCAGTCTGAGACGCTTCACCAGCCTGAGAGAGAGAGAGATACACACACACACACACACACCAATATAACCTCCACAGACAAAAAACTAATTGTTGAATGTATACTTTCTTCTTGAATACTTGGTTGTGCAGTGTCCAACTGCCTTAATGAAAGCACCATTCCTGTCAGGTAATAGGAATGTGACTGGTTCAATAGACATGATGCATAGAAGCTCATAAAGTGGCCGGTGGACGCACTAGGTGGATGTTTCTAATAGAGTGGCCACTGAGTAGAAGTATAAGGAAGGTGCTTCTAAAAAAGTGGCCACTCAGTGGAAGCACGAGGTAGGTTTTTCTAAAAAGTGGCCAGTATATGTAAGTTTAGGGTAGGTGTTTCTAATAAAGTAGCCCATGAGTGGAAGTACAAGGTAGGAGGTTCTAATAAAGTAGACAATGAGCATATAAATGAAAAGGACATCTATTCTCAACTATAAAGGTTTCAAAGGTTTCACTTGTGTTCTGATTATCAGACCACTTAGCCAAGACTGATAAAAAAACTAAATCTGTCCTTTTTGAAAATAGAAGATTTCTTTGACATACTGTGATTATATTTACTTTAGCTGCAAACAGACCTTCTAAAGAACAGAATCCTCTCACACACACACACACACCTCGCCCAGCTCCTCGTGGCTCTGCTGAACGTAGATTGTTTCCCTCAGGTTCTCGCTGGGCTCCAGGTCAGCATATGAGTCGTCCTGTCGGTCACTGGTGTCGCTGTCGCTCTCTTCACTCTTCTCCCACTCGTTCTCCTCCTGCTCGTTCTCTCTGTCTGATTTATCTGAGTACAGGTCCACATCCTTAAACTGCTCACCATCAGTGAACCTGAGGGATCACACATATATATCATGCACATCAACACAGGCTAAAAGGACCAATAAATCTCCTCTGACTGTTGTCACTCAGTGTGTTCACTAGTCTGACTCTTCTAGAGCTGCTGTTGATTTAGTGTAGGTAACAGTATGTGTGTGTGTTTGTGTACAGTTTTATCAAAAATCCTTCAAACTGAATTTTAATTTCCCTGGTACTATGTGTCTCGTCTCTGTCAGTAGTTTACCTACTGATGTAGCTCAAGGAGTGAAAGTTATTCAACTTTTTCACTGGAAATGAAATAAAAGGTGGTCTCTGACTTTTACACAGTACTGAAGATGTCGTCTTTCTGCTTTTTCTATAATGTGGGTATATATTGCAGTATGATGGGCACAGTGTTGTGGGTAAGTGTGAAATTTCACACACATACAAAATAACTGTCACTTGAAAAGAATAACAACACTATCACACTAAATGTAAGTACTGTAATGTGATGAACTTGTGCTGTAGCTTCTCATTAGGTTGAATGAATAACTCACTCTAAATGGCTCTAGGTATTGTGAAATAAACTGAGCTGTGTGCTCATTACGTTGAATAGAATTTTTCTGCAAAACCTATCCAACCTTATAACTAGCTACAAAACAACAGACTTGAGGGTGGAGCTTGGATTGGTCATTTATATGGATGATATCATAAAATTCCTATTCATATTTACTGTTTAGAAATGACTCAGTTGACTGTGTGTGTATGTGTGCGCATGCTCTTACTGGAAGCCCTGCATGTTGTGTGCTCTGAGAAGGCTGTAGAAGTTGATGTGTGTGTGCGTGTGTGAGGTTTCTGTGGCAGCTGCAGGTTCTTCTTTTCCCTCCCGGATCATCGTCCTCTTCAGCAGGCTGGAACACTTCAGAGCCAGCTCCAGAGCGTCCATCCAGCAACGGCCTGAAAACACACACACACGTGCACACACACACACACACACACACACACACACACACACACACACACACACACACACAGAATTATTCATAAACAAATAACACATTATCTTCTTTTTCGTGTAAGCTGTATGCCATGAGTATAGATCCTTGTCTGGGTTTGGTATGAGCCCCACATTGGCACTGTGGTTTAATTTGTAAATGATGAGGTCCTGCAACACCGAGTAGCGGTGTATGAGGGTAAGAGCAGCCATAAGATCTTCATCAACAGTGTGGAAAAAAAAATTAAATCCATACCTACAGTGCATCCGACTCCTTCAGTGTGTACATGTTGAGCCCTTGTAACCCTTGCAGAGGGTGCTACAGTAATGTATATGTATATATGTGATGCTGTGTGTGTACATATGTGTTTATACGTGCACGTGTGTGTAGTTACCGTCAGATTCAGAGGCAGCACGGAAGATGAGGTGACTGCTGGGCAGTGGCTGCGTGATGGAGCCAACAGCTTCTCCTTTAGGGCCCTGAGACACATGCACATTTGTTTGGGTTGTACACATGTGCCGTATATATAGAAATTATATATACTTAAGTATGTATATGAAATAATATTATGTCCCATACGTATTATATATCTTATCAGTGATGGAACCTCTTTAAAATGGTAACATTTCTAACTTTTAATTTAATGCAAGAAGATTTTTTTTTCCCCCCAAGTAACTTTGGGTCATTTTTATTGGTCCATTCATCATGGACAAAAATGGAAATACAAGGTGTTACAACGACAGTTCAGATATTTAAGTGCCTATTAGTTATAATAATAATAATAATAATAATACGTCCCAAATGTACTATCTATATATACCTATATAAATAGGTATATCTATAAATATATCTATAAATACCTATAAATAAAAAAGATTTCTAAGCCTAAACTTGTAACCTTAGCAACAAGAAAAAAAACGTTTATTCTTTTAGTTTTAAACACACAAACATGGAGCTTTTGCAAAAAAAAGCACTTTACAAAGTAAGGACCTTTTTGTTGGGCCTTACATTGTAGGTTTTCCCTGTTTTTCTCTGATTTTACTACAAAATTCAGGACAATTTTTGTTATGAAAACATTTCAAAACACCATGCATCTTTATCTGCAGTCCAGGTTAATAGTGTGTCACACTCTACTGCACAAACCAAGAAGTGGAATCCAACTTTCTTTGACGGCCTCTCTCTGTGTGAACAGAGTGAGTCCATTGGATGAAACAGTTTAAAACAGACACGCTCATTTTTGGAGGGTCTCTCTCTGTTATCGCTTTAAAACTGGACCATGGTACGGAAAGGTACTTTTACAAACTGTGAACCCGCAGGGGCATGGACAGTTCTTGATTCGTTTCTGTAACAATGGATGCACCGAATATGTGGCAACTGAAATTATTCGGCCAAAAACGGCAAAAAAAAAAAAGTGAAAAGACCGAATATCTATCTGTATCCATCCCTATCTGTAACGGTGCCATTCCTAACTGCTGTAAAAGATTAGTGTAAGGTTACCTTCACGGCCCATATAGACTGCTCCAGTGGGTGAAACAGTTTGAAGCAAAATCCGTCCTTCTTTGAGGGTCTCTCGATAAGCTCACAGGCACTCAGCAGCACGGTGCCCACCCACTGCCCATTCTTATGCGTCTTATAGATCAGTAATACGCCGGGCTTCAACACACACCACAGCTTCGTCCAGCTCTTCAGAGTACCGCGGATCTACACACACACACACACACACACTACAGGCTTAGCCCAGCACTTCAGTGTAAACGGGGTATTTAACTGGAGTTTGATCTCTCAACCACACATACCTTGAGCCAGTCGGCCATGACAATAACAGATGGATCAGTGATGGTGCTCAGGAGCTCTTTAGTCGCTCGCTTTTTCTCCTCCCTGTAGTTTTTCTTCTGTACCTGCACGCACAAATGAACATGAATGGCAAACATGTTCCACCAAAAAACTTTTTTAGCCTATCATTATATAAAATCTGTCTATTCCAAACATATGCCATGAAGCTATTATCCTACCCATTCTGCTGTTTGAAAATAGAGATCCTTACAATACTACTGGAAACTTTAACCCTACTAGAGTCTGAGGAACCACTGACCCTACTAATGCCCAATCCCATTTCTTATTTTTACCCCTTCTCTTGTTTTCGAGTGCCACCTTGCCCCTTTGGAACTGAGCTACAAGGGGTAGTGGTTGAAATCTTCTCCTACGAATTGGGACAACCCTCAAATAACAAAGAACAATGCTTTATTAACAGGCTACTAGCCGTGCTCTGTAGACGACCCTGTCAGTCTGCAGTGACAGCAGAGGAGGGTAAAGTTCAGCAACCTCACTGCTGCTCTTCAGTTAAAATTAAGGCCATCATATACTTGATTAAGTCCGAGGAATCACTGGCCCTACTCTAAGGAACGAAGCCTACTGACCTTACTAAATCTGAAGCAGCAAACCTACTGAGCTGTGAGGAACTACTGAATCTACTGAGTCTACTGAGTCTGGTGACCCATTTACCCTACTTAGTTTCAGGAACCACTGACCCTGAGAAACCACTGAACTAGTCTGAGAAAACACTGATCTTACTGAGTCTGAGAAAAGACGGATCCTAATGAGTCTAAGAAGCTGCATCATCCACAACCTACTGATGTTTCATCAACCTGCGCTGTGCCTAACACTACTGTTCCTATCTGTCTCTCGTAGCTTAAACACACTGTTGTAGTGAATGCTGTAGGGATCTCTCTGACTCTGATGGGAGTGCCGAAATCAGGACTCAATCAAACGCTATCAAAAATACATTCATAAACACACACAAACACAGAGACACACCACTTCTTACCTTCTTACCCAGATCTTACCTTAAGAGACTCTTTCTTGGTGAGTTTGTTCCCAGAGGCTGAAACATCTTTATCTGATCCATTATAGAGTTTGGTCTCAGACTGTGAATCAAGACAAATCAAAACTAAACACAGTGCTAAATATGATTGTGTGTATGTGTGTGTGTGTGTGTGTGTGAGAGAGAGAGAGAGAGAGCGACAGAGAGAGAGAGAGAGAGTATCATACTTTGCTTTTTGATATGGAGAGTGAAGAGTCTTCTTTCAGAGGTAAGATTTCTTCCTTTCGCTCAAAACCTGCAGAGACACACACCAAAAACACTACATTATTTGTCTGAAACATACTGAGGAAGTGTGTGTGTTCGATATTGAAGCTGGTGAACGATTAAGAAATGAAAAAATTAAAATTAAAATTTTCCTGTCTCAGAGTTCTGGTATAATGACTCCTTATTATTGATGAAACATCATTATGTAACCACAACGAAATAACAAAAAGAGAAAAGGAAGAAAAACAACTACAACAACAACAAAAACAAAAACAACAACAACAACAACAACAACAATAATAATAATAATAATAATGATAATAATAAATGTTAATCTAATGGCTATTCAGTTGAACTAGACAATTATTTTTCATTCATTTGCATAAACCCACTCGAGACAAAACATCCTGTGTAAAAAACAGGTTTGAGTTAGATGTGAGTCACACCAATCTCTGAACCTGAAAAACACACTGATTAACTTTGCAATAATAAGCACTCCACACTGCACACCACGAGTGAGTGTGTGTGTGTGCATGTGTGAGGACAGGCCTACACTCTAAGAACAGCCCTGAGCATCATCGTGTGTGATGAAGGACTCTTCAGAATGCTAATGCTAAGGGATAATCTCATGAGCGTAACAGCGTCTTTAGCATTATGGACTCATGAGCATAATAGGTCATTAGCATTAGAGACTCATCCGTTGCATCTCCATTCAGAGCCAGGGTTTATCCAGAATATTTTCTGATATGGCACCTCCTTAGACACTTTGGCACTTTTACACACAAACAGGTGTAAAAGTCTAAAATGTTCCTTAACAGAATGTGGTTTTAAACAGGTAGAAAAAACAACTCTGATCACTTACTGCAGCTTTATGGATAAGCTTACAGTTTGAATGTGTGCACGTGTGTATTCTATTCCAGTGTAGCAAAGTCCAGTCCAGCATAATTCAGTTCTGTCCAGTCCAGCACAGTCTAGTCCAGCACAGTTCAGTCCAACATAGTTCAGCTGAACACAGGACAGTCCAGTTCAGTCCAGTACAGTACAGCACAACACAATTCAGCTTAACAAAGCATAGTCCAGCAAAATCAAGTCCAGTCCAATGGAACAGTCCATTCCATATAGTCCAGCACAGTCCAGCCTCCAGATTTTCATGTCAGCCAACAGCACCACGGCAAATCTGGAAATTAGCTTTTAAATACAGGCAGCGGGATTTACAGCTAGAACAAACACACACTCCCACACTCACACTGCACAGAACCAGAAGGCACATCGACTGGGTTATGAGGTTCAGAGAAGAACAGGAAACTCTTTTTGACAGAAAACAGAACTAAATGGTGAAATTAACAGTATGATGTGTTCAATATTTAAGCCACCACAGCTGCAGTTCTGTAGGAAAGAGCAGATGGAGTAGCCTAACCTTTCATCATCAAATTAGGCTAAATGAACAGATAAGGGCTTTCAGTTGAGGTAAGTTTTTTTTTTCTTGTAAGGCTACTGTTGGGTCAGTCCATGTAAAATCAATAAAGGCCTCCCCACTGACCATTTTTCTACAACAATCTGTGTTTGACCCTTTGATAAATATCAGTTGACTTGAGAACTTCATGTGTAGCTGAGATCTTTTTCCAGCCGTATAATTGAGTAATTTTTTTTTAATTTTTACCCGATTTTCTCCCCAATTTAGTCGTCTCCAATTCCACCCGCTAGTTAGGACTCCCCCAATCACACGATACCATCAACGCTAGGAGGTTGAAGGCTAATACAGGCTTCCTCCGAGACCTGTGAAGCCAACCACTGCTTCTTTTCGAGCTGCCGCTCACGCAACGTCACTGGACAGCCGAACGCGCTCGGAGGAAAGCGCCAACCGCCAGATCTGTTACGTCAGCTAACAGACGCCTGCGCTGATCAGCATCGTGCTGAGTGATGGGGGAGAAGGGGGGGGGCATCCTACCCACCCAGAGAGAGCGAGGCCAATTGTGCTCTCTCGGACTCCCGGCTACGGATGGCTGTGGCATCACCAGGGATCGAGCTCCCGATCTCCTGATGATAGGGCTTAGACGGTTGCGCCACTCGGGAGCCCCAATTTAGTAATTTTTAATGGCTCATAAATCAGAAACCTTTATTACTTCAAGGCTGTACAATCTTCTCCACAAAGGGCCGGTGTGGGTGCAGGTTTTCATTCCAAACATGAAGAGCACACCTCATTCCACTCGTTTAATCAGTCAGTCTCAGTCATGTGTGATCCTGCCTTGTTGCAACTAAAACCTGCAGCTACAACGGCTTTTTGAGGATAAGATTGGACACCCCTGCTTTAAGACAAGGACCAAATTGCCAGAAAGAGTACTGTAATATGAGGAATGCCAAATATATGCAAGATCTGATGTGAATCATTGTGGAGATATAAAGAGGCAAATTAGCTCAAATACATGAATCACATTCCAAACCAAAGGACAGTCTCAGAAAATATCCCACATCTAGCATCAACAACTGATATGTTGGCTTTGAAGAATTTTCAATGAAATACAGGGATTAAATGATTTGCACATTATTGCATTTTGTTTTTATTGTCATTTTTCACAGTGTCCCAACTTCTTTGGAAATGGGGTTGTATATAAGGTTTTACATGTAATGTTGATAATGGTAAAATAGTGGTAAAGCTAAAAAAATAAGTTTTCTTATTTATCAACATATCAAAGTGTGCACCTTCAGTATAACTCCTTTTAAGGTAAAAATCATGGTCACGCTCACTTTAAAGCCTGTATTTCTCAGAAACTAATGAAGATCCAAGACTAAGATTTTACACTCTGTCTATTGGACAGAAGTACACTATTTCCTGTAAAGATTAAACCAGTCTGAGATGGTTAATTCTAAACCAAATTTCAGTTCCAAGTTCCGGTTTCTCTCTCTCTCTCTAGGGTGAGACTCGTCTGAATTTGTATGCTCCAGCATCCTGTGGTTTCCTTCTGACTCTGTAATTGAGAAACTGGATGCTGGTCACTCAGTTGAAGCTGATAAAGCAGAAGGGATGCTGGTCACCCACCTTGCAGTCCGGCGGGGAGCTCGTTGTAGCCCCCAAACGAAGCGTTGCGAATCAGTTTGCGTCCAGCAGGGGGCGGCGGCCGCAAACTGCCCCCACAGGTGGAGAAACGCCGCCTACCCAGAATCCCCTCTTCCTTCATCATGAGGACGACTGGAGCAGGGGTGAACGCCAGCGGCAAACTGACACACACGTACACACACTCTCATACAAATCTACCCTACAGACAGATAAACACACTGCTGGAGTCACAGCTATCCAGACTGCTAAAGCTACCCTGCGCTAAAAGACAGCACAGCACACACACTCCTCATCTACACAGCACACACACTCCTCCTCTACACACACACTTCTCTACATACACTCTGTCCTTCCTGCTCCTTTCTTTTTGCTCTCTCTCTCTTTCTCTCACCCACCCTGATCTCTCACGTAGCTGATAGTGAAAAGTGCGTGTATGCGTGTGTGTGAAACCAGTAAAAATAATAAAGCAGTTCTACACTCAGCCTCTTTGACCGAACTGAAGAAAAAAAAATGTCTCCAGCTTTCCCCATTCACATCTTTCATCTCTCTCTGTATGACTCACTCCATCTCCTCTCTCTCTCTTCTGTACCGATGCAGTCTTACTTTCTCTGTCTCTCTCTCTCTCTCTCTCTCTCTCGTCTCTCTCTCTAACTGTTTCTGTCCTTCTGTCTCTTTTCTCTAACTGCAGCACACCACACTGCCACAACCGCTCAGAACAGAGTTAGCTCCGCCCCTTCTCACTTCAACACTATGACTCTGTCCAATCATACCCCACACAGGTAAGAAGGGGAGGAGGGTCCTGTGTTTTGATCACCAGCCGAACGCATTTTGGGCCAAAATCTCTTTCTTCTGCAATGACAAGACATTCTGAACTTCGCACATGTTCTGCCACTGAAAACATGAGACCCGGCATCTTCTGTTCCTATGTTTAATTGTAGCGAAACTCACCAATTCAGTCTTCTTTACTGTAGTGGTGATGTCAACCAGTTACGATGTCTACAAAGCAAATGTAGCCCTTTTATTTACTATACAAAACCACCAGTGACCCTACATGTACAACCCCATTTCCAAAAAAGTTGGGAATTTCAGTTATGTGCAAATCTTTTAAACCCTATATTTCATTGAAAATAGTACAAAGACAACAAATTAAGTGCTGAAACTGAAATTTTACTGTTTTTTGAAAAATATATGCCCATTTTGAATTCGATGCCAACAACACGTTTTGGGACGGGGGCATGTTTACCACTGGGTTTCATCACCTCTTCTTTTATCAACACTCTGTAAGCGTTTACGAACTGAGCAGACAAACTGCTGTAGTTTTGAAAGTGAAATGTTTTCCCGTTCTTGTTTGATATAGGATTTCAGTTGCTCAACAGTTCAGGGTCTCCTTTGTTGTATTTTTCATTTCATAATGCGCCAAATGTTATCAGTGGTGACAGGTGCGGGCTGCAGGCAGGCCAATTTAGCACCCAGACTCTTTTAATACAGAGCAATGCTGTTGTAATACATGCAGAATGTGGTTTGTCATTGTCTTGCTGAAATAAGCAGGGCCTTCCCTGAAAAAGACATTGCCTGGATGGCAGCATACATGTTATCAAAACATGTATATATCATTCAGCATTAACGGTGCCTTGACAGATGTGCCAGTCACCCATGCCATGTGCACTAATGCCCTATACCATCATGAATACTGGCATTTGAACTGTGCACTGATAACAAGCTGAGTGGTCTTTATAAGGTTTTATATGTAATGATAATGGTAAAATAGTGGTAAAGCTAAAAAAGTTCTCTTTGGGGACTATTTAGCTTTAGAACTTAAAACTATCGTAATACAAAGTCTAAGGCATGAGGCAGTGTATTCATAACCATTTAGTGTAAGCTTCTGTAAGGAAGCTTTTAGAAGCATTAAAACTCAAAATGTCTGGTTTCTATCATCACCACTGTGAACAGCTCTGACTCGGTAAGATAAGAGTTAG